TAATAACTTCGACGTCGTTTATTTATTTATCGAAGTTATAAAGATCTCCGGACACGATAGTATAAACTAAAGCTCGATCCGTTATAATAAGTAGTTTAGCTATCTTAGCTACTTTTTTGTTTATTACGTTGACTTTAAATCTACTATCGAAAAAAGATTTGCTTTTAATTATACCGTCGATATTAATAAAAACTTTTAAAGTCTTTATCGCTACTTTAAAGCAATTGCGAGCGATAAGTTGCTTGCGAATTTACGTCGTTAAAAGGTCTAGCTTGCCTTTTTTATTCCGACTTAGACGTCTAATAATTAAAGCGTTTATAAGAATAAGCTTACTTTAAAAGACTTTTACGTTTTTTTTAGCATCGAAGACTATTAAAATATAATAGCTTAATAGCTTATCGAAGCGAAAGCTAAAACCGAACAAGTCTTTAATCTAGACTTCGATTCTCGATTTTATAATCGCCGCTATTGCTTTTTCTTAAGCTTTAATAGTAACGTAAAGGTTAATAAACTTTTTTCGTTTATAAGTCTTTTTCTTCTTTTTTCTTAATACTCGTTAAGTGATCTTAACCTCTTTTTCTATATCTTTTATAGCTTCGTCAGCTTTAGCTAATCTAAAAGACTTTTTTTTAATTATATTATCGAATAACTTATCTTTTAAGTCTATCTTTATAATAGTACTCGATTCTTAAAAGGCACGGGCCTTAAAAGTACCGTAGTTCTTTTCCTTTTATTACCGGACATTTTTTTTGATCCCGGTAAGCTTAAATCTTTTCGAAAGCAAAAAAGGCTTCTTAGCTTTATCTTTCGCGGCGGCGTTAATCTTAATCGAAGCAACTTTTATGCTAAATAAGTAGTTAAGCGTGTTGATCTACTTTATAGCATTAATATTCTTAATATCGACTAATCTTTTAAAGATAATAATAAGCTCTCGTAACTAGTTGATTAGTTGTTAAGCATTTTAATCGAGCTGATATTAAGCTAGCTATTAAATTAATTGTTAATAAAAGAGTAAGTGTTTATAAGTCTTAGGTCCGCTAGTAAATCGATTCTTTAAGATGTTATTGTATTCCGTTTTACGAACGTTTAGCACGATAGATTTGAACCAAGTCTTTTTTTGCTTTTTCTAAATAATAAAAGCACCGATCCTTTTAAGTCTTAAGCAAAAGCGTTCGTAATTATTAATATAAATACATCTTTTATTAATTATGTCTTTAAAAGCTTCGCATTTATTTCGGTATTAATAAAGAGCTTAAGTTGTATCTTCGGAGTTTTTGTAAAAGCTATAATCTTGCATTTAGTTCTCGTATCTTTTACTTTTTCTTCTTCTTCGTTTTTATAATCCGTAGCCGATAGCAGCAATCTGAACTCTATTTTCGAAACTAACTTTACTTCGAGCATCTTAAGCGGTATATTTAATAAAAGCTTCGTCGCGGTTTTCGAATCGAACTTAAAATTGAGATTAAATAAAGCGTCGGAAAGTTAAGTTAACGACTTAGTCTTCGAAGTAATCAATTCGATTATAAATCGCATTAATCTGCAAGTTAAAAAACTTCTTAATTATAGAACTTACTTTATTAATTTCTTCTTTTTCATTCGTAAACCGTAATTCACGGATGAACGGCACTATTATTAAAGCTTTCTTAACAAACTTAAGAACGCTAGCTAGCTCGATGTATTCTTTAATCAAGGTCCGAATATCTTTAATAAAGTTAGTTGAAAAAGACTTTTCTCGATTTATAGCTTCGATAATCTTAGCACTTTAATCGATCTTAAAAGCGAATATAGCGAAGTCGTTAAAAGCGGTATAAAAGTCCGGGTCGAGTTCGTCGACTTTATAATGCTTAATCGTTTTGTTTCGAATTCCGATAAGCAATCCGAAAAGAAACAAGCGGCTTTGTTCGGTCTTGCTTAAGAAGTGCATTAAAGTAAGCTTTTCGAAAACTCGAGAGAAGGTGCGATAATAGTTTTTCAAATCATTAACATCTCGTTTTTGCATAGCAAATTCTCGTAAGAAAGCGATTAAGTCTTTAATCTACTAAGTATCGTTTTTACGAAACTCAGCTCTTAAAGCTTTAACGAAAGCAGCTTAATCTTTCTTAGCTTTCTATTCGAGCAAGCTCTTGATAACTTCTTTACGAAAGTTATCGCAATAACGAAAGAGCTTAATAAACCGATCGTCTTTAAAAATACTAAAGTTATTATAAATTTCTTCGTACTTTTCGATAAAGTCGATGATATTAATACTATTAAAGCAGAAAGCTCTTAGAACGCTTAGTAATAGCATACGAGTAGTCATGAAAGCGTAAAGGATAGCAAGGTCGATTATAATTAGCGCAAAGCTTAGTAAAAGAGCAAAAAGAGTAAGAGGAAAAAGAGTAATATAGATCTTAAGACCGGTATTCATTTTAAAAAGCATTTTCGAAGCAAGTGTTTCCGATAGAAATAGCGGTAAAAGTTTAAGTTAAAAGTCGAAGTAAGATAAAGATAATCCGAAGCTTATAAAAATACGATTAAAGGATTCAACAAATTTAAAAGATTCTAACGAAAAGAAAAGTGATTTTGCGCCGACTTCGATATTAAAAATTTTAAAAAGGTTTTCGGTATTTTAAAGATCAAACATATATATATATTAAGAATGATCGAGTTGATAAAAGGTTTTTGAATTGTTTGATTTTAACTCGTGAACCGAGTTCACGAGTAAAATAAGCGATTTTCGTAAAGTATTCTCGATCCGAAATTAAAAAGAATAGACCTTTTGCAAAAGTAAATTAATAAACAAGATCAAAACTATAAAAAACTTAAGAACTAATTGATTAGCTTCGCTAACAATTCCGGATTATATCAATTGCTTTAATTCAAAATGAAAGCTAAAGTATAAAAAGATATTTTCATTAATAAGTGAAAATTCTTTTTTATTAATAATAAAAGAGAGTTTTTGCTAAAGAGCCGAAATATTACACTTCGGCTATTTCGGCGTTTCGATGTCCGAACCTATCGGAAATAAAGTTTTAATTGTTTTGAAGTTATAATTATAAAGTGAAGTGCTAAATGATAAACGAAGATCAACTTAACTGCGAATCAAGCGATTGTAATAAGTTGTATAAAAACAAAAACCAAAGGTTTGAATCCTTGCGTAAGTTACTAATATAAAAGCACTTAAAAAGATATGCTGAGTAAAAGCTTAGCTCTAAGGCTAAACCTTATGGTCTTATAAAAGAAGTGTTAGAAAAGGTAAGTGGAAAGCTCGTTGATTGTTCTAGCTAAGAGATGTGTGCCCTTTTATAAAAGATGGGTCCGTCTAGTGTAGCCTTAGTGGCCATAGCAGGTACCCCATCAGGCAAGGTGTTTACAATATCTAAGTTTGTTATGCGTTCGAGTATAATTCGAAAGCTTTTCGGTATATCGGCAATACGCGAAAAAAAATATTGCTTGTATTCTTTTATTTATTTTTATAGCGTATCTTTAACTTTCGATAGCTTATATTAATTAACTTTGCTATTTAATGCTGCTTTTACGCCGTTTGCTTCGTTAATTAACTTGATCTTTTTATTTTTAATTTTATATATGCCGAATATTTTAGCCGAGTCCGAAAAGATTTCTTTTCGAGTCCGATAAAGTGTCGAATTCTAATAGTCGATATGATCGTAATAACGAATTATAAAGTTATTAGTGCTAACGGTATCTATTTAATAAGTTGTTAAAGGATCGCATTTTATAAAAGCAAGAACATCGATAAAATACTCTTAAGTAATAGAATCGTCTTTCTTTTAATATTATAACGTTTCGCTTTCGAAACTAAGCGAAAAGCAAAAAGCTTTTAATATACCGACTTTAGCGCTTTTAACGAAGCCGATCATTAGTTTTTCGAATCGCTGCCGCTATTATTCGAAGACTTATCGTAATAAATAAAACTTATACTTTGCTCTTTTAAGCGATCGACGGCTTCGTCGTATTAATTCGTTTTATCGCTTACTTTAGCTTAAGTAACTTAGCTCGTAAACGGATTAATAACTATTATAATAATAAAGCTATCTTTATAATTCGAAAAGTATTAAAGATCGATTTTCGCTTTACGTATAAAAAAGTAACCGAATATAAATCGAAACTTTAGCGAATCTATAACGTAGAATCGAGTATAGATTGTAGCACTTTCGATATTAATAGATATATTATTAGCGTATCTGATAAAGCGTGATAATAAACCGGTGATTATTTAAAAGCTTATCTTTTAGTCGTAAGCTATAAAGATTTCGAATTTAATTGCGGCGTTATAAGTGATAACGTTGACTTTTGCACTTATATCGAGTGTAGCTCGCGCATTAATAATTAAAAACTATTTAAATATACTAATAATAACTTTAAAAGTTAGCGAATGATAATAAAAGTATTTAAAAAATAGCTAGCTAAACGTCGAAGTAAAGCCGATTTCCGCTGAAAAAGGTTTCGTATTACTTTCGATTGCGGTCCGTAAAGTACGCCGATTTTCACGAGTAAATTAATCGAGAAAAAGATATTAGAATTAAAAAATACCGTAAAACACGGCTATAAAAAGAATCGGAATAAAGCTTGTTGGTACACAGGTATTAATAGTACTATCGTTTTGGGTTGGTTGTGTTGTTCATGTCTGGTATTGCTATACTAGTAGTGGCGGTCCTTTAAGGGGACCGCGGGCGCACGTGCCGCCTTCACGTGCTAAGTCCACTACTACCCTCATCGTCCTTTTTATTCTTATCCGTCGTTCTTTTTATTCTTGTCCGTTGTATAGCTAGTATACTCCGACACTAGCAGTTCTTTACTTGTTGTAAAGAACGCTTTAATTATACTTATACAAATTCTTGCGTCTCGAAGTTCTGCCGAACCTTTTACTTCTTTTATTACTCTCGATCCACCTATCTTTTAATACGTACTTTTAACGTATTGCAATCGATGAAGCTTTTTAAAGCTTTGTTTAGATTTGCTTTAGTCATATAGTCAGCTAGATTGCTCTTTCCGTCAATCTAGCGTATTTCGGCGATCTCTTTACGCTCGTAAGATTGTCGTAAGGCTATTATATCGATTATAAGCTTCTTTTCCTTAATTGTGCCGAGTTTTATTAAACACTTGTAAAAAGAGTAAGAGTCGGTAGCTACTACTATTAGTATCTTTAGTAACGAAAGCTGTTCGGTGATCTGATTTAAAGTAGTATTTAAAGCAATTGCAATATCCATTCTAGCTATTATTCCGAAGATCTTTAAAGCTAAAACACTCTTAGTAACTTTCTTACTTTTCGTAAAGCTGTAATGCACTACGTTGCTTATGACTTTGAAGGTCTCTTCGGTCGTACGTGTTTCGTTTCTTAAGATAATCACGTACTTAAGTTGGCTGGATAGATCTTTGTTGTTTGCAAAAGAGCTATTTACGAATATAAAAAGCTTAGCTAAGCGAAGGTCGATAAAAACGTATTTCAGCCTTTTGCTTTAATTGCTAATCATCTATTAAAAGCACTTATTAAAAGCTGCCACTTTATCTTTACCGGGGTCTTTGTGCTAAGCTGTTATTAAAAGAGCAAATAAAGCTTTAAGTTGATAAGTGGAAGCAATATATGTTTCGCGTGCGCGCTGCTCGAAGTACTCTTGCTTGTAGTTTAGTCTATCGAAGACGAAGGCGAGCTTTTAGCCTTGTTGTTTTTATGTAAAGAGCATAGTATCGTCCTTTTATAGCTTTAAAATATAGCTATTGAACTTAATATCGGTAGTATAAGTCAGCTTAGTCTCGTCTTTAGCTTTTAAGCCGGCCTTCTTAAGTTCTAATCTTTTTTTAGCTGCAAATCGATCGTCGGCGAAGTAATAAGTATCGTCTACTTGCATCTTTACGAGCTTAAACATGCTTTTCTTAATATAAATCAAAAAGCAAAAGTCGTAAGTCGAAGTAATTATAAACAGCTTCTCTTTATAGTAAGTGTAGTATGTTGATTATTAAAAAGTATTTGCTTTAAGAATCTTATATAATGCTTTGCGGATCTTTATGATTGTTCTTTCGAGATAAAACTTTATTATTTCCTTTAGTAAGCGTGCTAGAATAAGCTTATTTAATAAGTGATCGCTTTAAGTATAAGCTTGCGTAATATTACGAAGGTAAAAAGAAATCTTTAGCAGTAAGAGTGCTAGCGCTAGTACAATAATAAAGCGTTGGCTCGAGCGTTATATAACGGAAGATTAAGTAAAAATCACTCTTTTTCTTTCGTCGGCGAAAGCTTATATAACGAGTCGTGATTTTTCGAATAAAGTTACTATTTCTTTGCTTTTAAGCTCGTTGATAAAACGAAAGCTAAAAATACGCTCTTTTGCGTACTTTATAAAGTCGTATAAAATGAATTTAAATACGCTTTATGTAATCAAGCCTTCGATCTTACGCTGCTATAAGTCTTCGAAAATCTCGCTAAAAGTAGTAATTACACTTTCGGCTCGTAGCTTCGTAGCTAAGTCACGATTTGTTTGCTCTTTCCGAATTAAAAAGGTATTAATATCACTTGATATAATAAAGAATTGCGCTAGCTCTTTAGCTTCCGTGCAGTAACGCTTTAAAGGTCGTCTGTTTCTGCTATTTCGACGTGGCGCCTTTTCTACTTGTTTTATTAGTGATCCTTCTTCTTCGAGACGCTTATCTTAAGCAGTATTTTCTTAATAATATAGCTTGACTACCGTAGCTTTAAATTAGACTGCTTTGTTATTGACTTAGACCGTGTACGTATAGCTTTCTATCGCAATAAAGGTATAAAAGCCAGTCTATTGCGCGCGCTAGTCCTTTTTCTTTTTTTTCCATACTCTTACTTAGCTTTACAAGAAGAGAGCTAGCGTCTTAATCGTAAAAGGTCCGTTGCGTATATTTAAAGCGTCTGCCACTTGTCTTATAGCTTGCAATCTTCTTACTTCCGACATAGCCTTTTTAATAGCTTCTGCTTTAATAATAGTAAAAAAGGCTAGTAGATCTAAGTGAGTTATGCGAAAGTAAGCACCAAATACAAAAAGAGTAAGTACTAAGCCTGCTAGCCCGGCGGTATCGTTAACGGCTTTGATTATTATCTGTAAGATTTGTTTTTTAATCACTTTTAAGTCTTGCATTTCTTTCGAGATGATCTCGTAAGCTCGTTGTAAAAGTTAATAGTATCTTTCTACCTTTCTTACGCTATTATAAGCCTTTGTAAGCATCTCGCTAATATCGATAAACATTATCTTAGCTAGACCGCGAAACTTAACTGCTGCAAAGTTTGTTTTTAAGTCGTAAATAATTAAATCGAAAAGACCGAAGTAGCTGTTAATCTAGCATTTTTTAAGCGCGTTTTAAGTAGTGATAGCCGACATGTCTTTTAAGAAGCGCTCAGCTTAAAAAGTAGTCGCTGAATCGACGACGTATAATATTAATCTGCTGTTTAAGTGCATTACGTTTATAATAATAAAGTAATTAAACTTTAAGTTATCTTTTAAAGTAAACTTGTATCGGCTCGAAGCTGCATTATGCATTTGATATTGATAGTAAAACTTTTCGATCTTTTTTAAAGTGTCGAGATCGATATCATCGTGACCGCTAAAGTCAAAAACCTTTTGCAAGCGTAAAACAAATAAGTAGCCGAATCTGCGGTGTAATTAGCGTAGTTCTTGTTCTGTAAAATATGCGTCCGTAAAAGCGTTTTTAAGTTATAGCATAAAGAATAAGTAGCTTTATTTACGAATTATTAGAATACGCTTATTGCTTTAAACGAGCATATTGTCAAGATTATTATAATAAACTTAAAGTCGGTTTATATCCTCGAGTAAGATAAAGAAAAAGGTCTTTATATTAACAATGTAGAATTCGATTAGTTTAAAGAAAGTATTTACTATTACAAAGCTTATAATACGTATAGTATTGCTTTCGAACTTAATAGTATTCTTATCGGCCGTTTCTCGGTTAATTCGAAAAAAAAAGAGCTTGCTTAAAGCTTTAACTTGTTGCTCTTTTGCAGTAGAAAAGTTAGCTACTTTAAAATCGAAGATAAACTTTTAGAATTTATAAGCCGAGTATCGATCGAGTAAAAAGTGCTTTAAAAGAACGATATTCGAGAGTAGCTTAAATAAGTCGATAAAAGTAAAGGTATGATAAGTTGCGTTCTCGAGCAACGCTACTATCAAGTGTTAGCCGTTAATAGTTTTTAATTCAATGAAAAATTAAGTTGCGGCCGTTGATTGCTAATCAAAAGTGATTTAGAGTTGTTAATCGAAGCCTTGTACTCTTTTAACTTATACGAAGTAATAAGTATATTCTTCAAGTCTTACGTCCTTCGTATAATATTAAGCTTAGCGTCTTTAATTATCGTAAGACTTCTTACGCTCTTCGCTATTATGCTAAGTAAAGAAGTGACTTAACTCGCCGTAAACAAAATAGCGTTTATTAGCGCGATTAGCACGAGTTGTTGCGCCTTTTCTTCTTTTGCTACTACTTTCGTAGTTGCTTCGATTACTTTAGCTTCGACTACTAGTTCTGTTATATCCTCTTCTAGTATAGCTTTTAAAGCTTCTATTGCTATTACTGTTGTAGCTACGGCTTCTATTGCTTCCGCTGCTTTTGTATTAGCGGTCTACGTAATAGACCTCGTCTTCGTATTAATCGCTCGACTCGGTAGCATCGATAAAGTAAGCGGTAAAAGGTCTAGTCGTCGTAATAATAGCAATCGATGATCGTAGTTAAAAAACGAAAGCGGTAGTCGTAAGTGCGAGATTATATTAAGCAAACGCGCATTTAAGAACGCTTTGTACCGCGCTTAAAATCACGTCTTTTAAAGCCTTATCGGAGTGATATTCGAAAGTTAAGTTGCGTTAAATAAAAAAGAGTTTTTTAATTATTAGCGTAAAGCATTTTAACTTATCTTTGTCGGCATTCTTTTTACGACTTATCATTAATTGAAGTGTAAGTGATCTCTATTCCGATAAGTACTTTTAAACAGACTTTAAGACTTTAAACTTAAACTTTATAAATGCAATTATTATTTAAAACTTTATGTCTTTGCTATAAATATCAGTCATATAGTATTAGTATGCCTCGTCCTTAAGCATTAAAGAGAAAGTTATTGCGTAGCTTACTTTATCGCTTTAAAAGATACTTAAGCGTATGCAGTTTTCATAGAAAATCTTAAGCTTATCGATAAAGACTTCGTATTTAGCGCTTTTATATTTTTTCTTTATATCTTAGTATACTTTCGAAAAGTCACTAATCTGTTTAACGTAGTCGCTAGTTCTTACTCGAAGTGGTTTAAGTAATTTAACGTAAAAGAAGACGGTTGTGTCAAGTAGTAAAAGGATCTAATATTTAGCATTGATCTCTTTACTAAAGGTTGGTATTAAAGTCGGGAAAAGACGTGCGGTTAACAAGGCAGCGGGGCCTCGAGTGTTAGAAGGCTTACTTAATAGTATGCGGTTAATACTTATAGCTGGTCCTTTTTGCTCGATTATAAGTTCGATTGCAAGCTTAATGATTGCAAGCTTAATTGTGAGCTCGATTATAAGTGTAAGTATAGTCGCAAGCGCCGCCGGTGTAATAATAAGTACCGTTGTTGCTTTATCTTTAGCTTGCTGCTTTTGCTCAAGTGCTATTTTCTTAACCTCTTTGACCTCTTATTCCGCGATGATCTTGTTTTTAGCATCTTTATAAATAAAAGTCTATAGCTCTAGCTCGTCTTTTTAGCTTAAAACGTAAAAGATTGATGCTTAAGAGATACTTTTAGCTAATCTAACTTACACTTTACTTATTACGAAGTGTTTTCGAAGCTAGCGGCAAATCGATCGGTGAGCGTGTCTTTATATCTTAATCGTTTATCTATTAAAATCTTGTAAAAAGATCTCGAAAAAAGACTCTTTTTGCTTGCTATTGTACGTGTCTTTATAGCTTTCTAAACACATAGCGATATAGCTATTGATTGTAAAAGGGTCTATAACTTAAGCGAAGTCAATAAAGTCAAAGTCATATCTTTAAGTCAGAAAATTGATTTAGCATTCTAGTTTTAGTAGTACAAGTCTAGCTGATACGTTCGGTATAGCCGAATGGACCGACATATTAGCAGCGAATTCGTACGTAAAAAAAGGAATTCGTAATAGTTGAAAGGTAAGCGAGTATAATAGTAGATCTGCTAGCTTGTTAGCTAAGGAAACAATTCTCTGAAAAAAGTAAGAATCGTGCTCGCAAAGAGTTGTCCGCTTCTTAAATCTTTCTCGCGCGTGATAAACGTAATCGATTCTCGTAAAAAAGTTGTTCGATTCTCGATTCTTAATCGAAAACCGGTAATAAGTATCGTTAGCATAAGATGAAAAGCGAAGTTAATAAAAACTCTTTAGACTTAATCTTATCTCTTTTAAACCTTGCGAATTTATAGTTTATTCAACTATTAATTAGTGTTAATATATAAGTATTAATAGTACTATCGTTTTAAGTTGATTGTGTTGTTTATGTCTAGTATTGCTATACTAGTAGTAGCGGTCCTTTAAAAGGACCGCGAGCGCACGTGCCGCCTTTACGTGCTAAGTCCACTACTACCCTTATCGTCCTTTCCATTCCTATCCGTCGTTCCTTCTATTCTTGTCCGCTGCATAGCTGGTATACTCCGATAAAGCCGATGATAAAAATAAAGTAAAACCGTTTTTAAATCGAAAGAGCTTTAAATGCGAAAAGCGTAATGCGTCGGCGGTGCTTAACTTAATTACTACGAACGTTCTTTTGCAATTAAAGCTTAGTCATTTAAAAGAATTCGAATAAGCGTTCGAGCTAAGACCGTTAAACAATAGCATCTCGGTATAAGATCCGTCTTAATTAAGCAAAGACTTATATAAAGTCCGTTTTACTAGTAATTCGGCCGTAAGTTAAAGTAATAAAAAAAAAAAAAAGTAAATTCTTGCGATAAAGCGCTTTACCGATAAAGCGACTCGTAACTTTGCAAAATAAGTCGCTATTAAATGAAAAGACATTACTTTCTTTTTAAATAAGTCGTTAAAGCTTTAAAGCAAATCCGTTTCTCTTTGTATTATCCGTCGCTTTCGATATAAGCTTGCTACTTATAATTAAGTAATCTTTTAAAGCTTCCGCAACGTTAACCGTAGCTTAAAAGCAATTAATAGCGCTTTCGCTAATGAAAGTTTGCTAAATCATCTTATCGATTATACTTTCGAAAAAGGATCGTTTAAAAGTAAAAAGAGCAACGAAGAATATAATAGTTTTACTAAAAGTTAAGTTCTTAAGCAAATCACGCTTTTTTAAGAGCTTAATACGAATCGCTTCGTAGTTTATTCTTAAAGAAAAGATCACTTTGTTAAACCTTTTGTATAATTTAGCAGTTTTAAAAAGCTTAGCTTTAAGCTTAAGTATAGCTTTAAAAGCTTTTAATAGCGTAACGAGCAAATTCCGTAAGTCTTTTAATCGTAAAGCTTTTCAGTTTAAAATCGCGGTGTAAGCGAGCTCGAGCTTATCTATTTCTATTAGCTTAACGAAAGTAATTTTAAGCTAGTTATAAATAGATTAAACTTTTGCTTTTGCCGAAAAAGTGTTTTTTAACGGATATAGCGTAACTCGAAAAGCTGCGTTGCGCGCTCGAGTCTTTATTAATATAATAATAGCTTTTGTATTAAACACGTAAGCATATAAATTCGCTGATATAATACATCGCTAGCGAATTATATCCGAAGTATTAAAGTCGTTAATACGAAAAGCTTCCGCATTATCGCCGTTAGCTATTTAAATAAGCGCTTTAACGCGTTCTCGTGCAACTTCTTTAATAAATTCTCGTTATGCTTTTAAAGCTTTATAACGTCGCTTTAAATTAAGATCATTTATCGTTTTACGAACTTTTTTTAAAACTTGCTTATACTTAAAAGTATCGTTTCGAAACTAAAACGAAATCGATAGTATTTCTTTTTAATACGGTCTTATACACATTAAGTCCGTCTTATTAAAATGAAAAGCTAGTCCGTATTAAAGCATAAACAAGTAGCATTGATTTTGATATTTATAAAGCTTTTATTAATAGCTAAGTAGATTAAAAGTTTGCTAGCATTAATAAAAAATACACGTAAAATCGTTTAACGACCGTTTCTTTTTCGATATAGCGTAACTTCGATTCGAATAAGTATCGGTTGTATTAATTTCGTAGACTCGGTGTAAAGCGATCTTTTAAGTCTTTTTATATTAAGCAGCTTTTAATAAGTTTATATAAGCTTCTTTCGGTACGAAAGCGAAGCTGTCGATAAGTCTTAAGTAAATACTAACTTTCGCTAGCTGTTTTATAAAAGCTTCGATTTTTGAATCAAGATCGACGAATAAAATAATCGAACTCGTAGCGGTAATGCTTACGCAGTAAGAAAGAAAAGCATAAGTACTATCGAAATAAGTGTTATAAAAGAATAAAACGTATAAGTTTCGCTTGCTTTCGAAAATAATAAATAATACTTAAAAACGAGAGTTCTCGTTTTAATAAAAATTATAGCGAAAAAAAGCTTTAAAGATCTTAGCGTAATCGTATTCTTTAATCCGTTCCGCAATGATCTGTTCTTGCTTATTTAAATCGCTAATTATAATATATATTATTTTATAAGTTTGCAAGTGATCTTCTTTAAGTTTAACGTTCTTTTAAGTTTGATTTTGCATCAATAATAGTAAGCAATCGAAGAATTTCTACTTCAATTGCTTATCGGTAATATCTTTATTAGTTAAGCAAGCAAAGCTCGTAAAATTAAATTATCGAGTGAACTATAAAAGCATCGCTTTAAAAGCTCTTTTCTTTGTTATTTACTTATTGCTTAAGTCGTTTAAAAAGCTAATACTATCTTTTTATTTAGCTAAGTCGAAAGCTTTGTATTTTTCTTTAACCACCGATTTAAAGTCGTCTTAAGTCACTTTCGGATCCGAAAAGCCTTTCAAGCTTTCGATATTGCAACGTATATTATAATTAAAAGAACTAGAAATATTATATTCGATAAAGCACTGCTTTTTCTTTAAATCGTTAACGATACCGTAATCTTTAAACGCTCGTTCGAGCTAGCGAATATAATCCGTAATATTAATCTTATTGTCGGTTCATTTATATCGACCTTAGCTAGTAAATAGTAGTTAGGGGGAGCTCACTCGTGAACCAAGGTTCACGGGCCACTAGGCATGCCTCGCTTAGCCTGTCACAGGTCAAGGGGCCCCCCAACCTGCTTGTAAACCTAGTATTTAGCTAGTACACGTGACTCCTTCCTATTGCATAGAAGGAGTCAGCTTTCTTAGAGCAGATGAATAAATCAGAATAATAAGCAACAATTGAGTATTTTACCACCGAGTGTTTTGCAATTGCAAGTACTTTGACGACGTCACGACTTTTACGAATTATTACGAGAGATCGCTACCGGCGATCT